GTCCTCGCCGCCGCCCGCCCCAGGACACCGGGATCGACGGCCCCGCCTTCCGGGATCTGGGCCGGGTGGGAGGTCCTTGGCCCGAGTGTGGCCCTGGGACCCGCCAGGCTCTTAAAAGGCGGGCAGACCTGGGTTCTCCTGCCTCGAGCTAAACCTGTGCGCTGGGGACCCCCTGAGCCTGGGCGTCTTGTCTGGAGAGTGAGGGTGTCGCCGCCTACCTCTCCAGCTTGCCCTGGGGATGGAAGCTCAGACCCCCCAGAGCAGCCCTGATTTCCTGACCCCTGCAGGTGTGTCCTCGGGTCCCTGGTGGGGTGGGCCCAGCTGGCAAGCGGACGGCTTGTTTGCCCCCCTCCTGTCCTCTCCCGCCCGCCCTTCCCCAAGCTGGAGTAGCCGGGACTTGGTGGGAGGGGTGCGCAGCCGGGCTCTGGGCTCTGGGGCCCTGACTGGGAACGGGATGGGCCTCTGGGTCCCTGGAGGCCTCAGGAACTTTGCTGGGAAAAGGAATCTGGGTCTGATTCACAAGCAAACAGATTGTTCTTTTGATTGCAGCCACAGGGGTGCGGGCCAGGGGAGCGCCCGACCCAGGGCCATCTGGGTGGCAGCCAGGTGGGATCTGGCCCTGTCTTGCAGCCGCATGGCTGTTACCCCACTTAGGGTCTCACATTCACAGGGGTCCTGAGGGGGCTGCCTGGCACTCTGTCCCATCCTCTTCCCGAGTCCCTCACCGCTGATGGTTGCCCCGCCCAAAGCGCCTGCAGTAACCAAGGCGGGGGCCACCGTGGCTGCCATTCATGGGTACCTCTCAGGTGCCCAGTTGACTCCATGGACCCAGCTCCAGGGCTGGTCATTTCCGCCCCGTAGGCCAGAGCGCTGAGGTTTGAGAGGCCCAAGTTCATCCAAGGGCTGAGGGTTCACCCAAGAGCTGCCTTCAAACCAGACCAGCGGGGGCCCCGGGAACCCTGCTCTGTAGTCACAGGGACAGGAATCAGTGCCACCTCCACAGAGGCAGGAGCTGAGGCTGCCTGAGCCCCATGGTGCCCGTGCCTGGAGGGGCTCACCCCAGCTGGCACTGTGGGCTCTGGCTATAAAGCACCCTTAGGAGAAGGTGCCCCGCGGCCTTGGCTGCAGGGCGGAGGGTCCCCTGGTCAGAGGTGGGAAGGACTGCTGGGGGCTGTAGGACCCTTTGCAAGGGCTTGGTGACCCAGGAGCTTATGTAAGTCAGCTAAAAAGGACCCCCCTCGGCCCCATGCACCGCACGGCTTTCGTAAGGACGCCACTGTCTCTCCAGAGGGGACTGCCAGGCACCCAAGGGCGGGCTTGCAGCCTGACCCAAGGTCACAGAGACTGTCTAGGATCCAGGCTTCCTGTACCTGCTCTGGGACAGTCCGAAGGGAGGGTGGGGACCCAGCTGCACCACTCACCAGCTGTCCAGCACCGCTGGCCTCCTGTCCCACCTCCGGGCTGCTCCAGATGGAGGGGCCCGCCCAGGCCAACAGTCTCCCTCACCAGCCCTGGGGTTGGTGTCACGGACAGGCAGGTGCTGCACTTCCTGCACCGGAAACCCAGGAAGTGCCCGGGGGAACCCACGCCCTCTGTCTGCCGCTCCCAGGCCCTGTCCCGCCTCCCTGCTGCCAGGCTCAGGCCGGCGCCTTCTCCCACCTCAGATGCCCAGCGGGCAAGGGGTTCCATCTCCTGCCAGGCTCAGAGGCCTTGCACTGCACAGATGGCACCCATCAGGGAGCCAAGAGGGGTCCAGCCATCACCCGTCCTCAACACCCCGGGTGCACAGAGCAGCCAGGGACATCAAGGCGAATCAGCCTGGCCACCCCTGGGGGCGGGGTGGGCTGTGAAGGAGGAAACCAGGGACTGAGTCAGAAGAGGTGGGTTAGGTGGTCTCCACCTGGAGGTGACGGGGGATAGGGCTCTGTGGGTGGACTTGGGCTCAACTCCCAGCTTTCTGGTGCTGGCCTCACCTGGACAAGGCTGTGCACCGCCTGTCACCTCGCGACCTGGATGGGGAAGTCCAGGGGACACATGCCCCAAGGGGGCGCAGCTGGGCCATGCACAGCTGGGACCTGAGAACAGTGTTGCTGGCCACTCCTGCCTCTGTCCCCGTCCATCCTTCTCACACTGCCCACACCCTCGAATGGGACACACGGAGCAGAGGGCAGGTTCGAGGTGTCCCCGTCTCTGGGGCTCCCACCGTGTTCCTCCTGGGCTCCCTGTGGGGAAACTGAAGCTCTCACCTAACAATAGTGTGCAGAAAACTAGAAGTGGTTAACAAGGAGCTAATCTATCAACTTAATGAAGCCACTGGGATCAAATAAAGAGAACATCCCAGCCCCAAGTGCATGTGAATACCTTTTGACCTTAGGAATCGTAAAATATGATGGTGTCTAAACATTCTCTTGTGGTGTCTTTCTGCAGATGTTTCTTCTGTAGATTTTGCTGATAATGTGCGTATAAGTAACCAGGTCTGCCTCAAATAAAGCAGACGGTCCTTTGTCTCCACTCTGCCTAGAGTGTCTTTGCTGTTCAGTCCTCACTCTCTCCTTCAGGTACTGTTCCACTAGTGGGAGCTGGTCCCCCACAGCTCCCTGAGCCGCAGCCCCCACCCCAGGGCCGAGACCACACCCACGTCCGCCTCCCTGGCCCAGGCGGGGCCGGGCTTCTGGTGACCCGGCTGAGACAACAGTGTCTGAGCTTTCGGTGTCCTCCTGGTCTGGGGCTGAGCCGGCTCCAGCCGGGCCTGCCAGGTTCCGTGCCGGATGTCTGATCGGCAAACGACGGACTGAGAGGCCTGGCGGTCAGGATGGGCAGAGAGGGGCCCTCTGGGACGCACAGCGGGAGGCAGTGCTGGGGAGGGCACTCAGAGGGTCCTGGGCTGCCCGTCGTCCTCTGCCACTCGCTGAGTCCCTGCCTGCTCGAAGCCCATCCCACGGGCGCCTCCTCTCCCGGCCGTCTGCCTGCCTGACAGCTCTGTCCAGCACCCTGGTCAGAGGCCTCTCCCTCCTGGGCACCAAGTGCACCGGTGGCCTGGACCCTGGATCCCTGCTGACTCCCAGCTGTCTCAGCACGAGGGGAGTTTACTGAGGTATTTTTTTGTTTGTTTGTTTTTTGGAACTTGGGACTTCGTGCTTGCGAGGCAGGCGGTGGAACCACTGAGTAAAATCCCCAGCCCTCCGACTGAGGTGTTAATGAAACCCACACTGAGGTCTTCACAAGACTCATGTTCAGGCTGCATTTGTACAGCGGGGACAGAAGTGGCGGGGAGCTCCAGAGTGCTGTTGGCAGGGAGGGAAGGCAGATAAAGCTTGAGAGGTAGTGAGGGGTATTTCCAGTAAGCATGCCTGGGAAACTGCCTGGGGACGTGTCAGAAGATCTCTGGCTCTCCTGGAGCTAACTGTGTTCCCCTTTCTTTCTTTTTCTTTTTGGGTTTTTGAGACAGGGTCTCGCTATGTAGTTGAGACTGACCTGGAACTCACTATGCAACTCCGACTGCCCTCCACTCTGGACCAGGCTGGCTTTTCCACAGTTGGTGTGGAGATCTGCTAAACGCCTCATTGAGAGGGATCTAATATTTTGTTTTGTTTTGGGTACTGGGGATCTAACTTGTGACCTCGAAAAAACAATTTGATAAGAAAAGAATTTTATTTTAGCCCACGTGGCCCAGACTTTGTTTGGAAAATGGTCCTTCTGCCCATAAAGGGAAAGAGGCTCCTGATCCAGTCCCCTCCCAGGCCTGTCCCAATGGGTCCCAGGCCATGCTAGGGACTGAGGCGCTGCGGCCACTTCCAGCAAAAACATGGAGCCCTGGTTGGAACCCCGAGCCTCGTCTGGTCTGGCAGGGCTGGCCCTGGGCCCACTCTGCCTGGCCGCTTCCTCTAGGCCAGGCCACTTCCTGTCCGGAGGGACAGTGCCCGCTCCCTGGCAGCTCAACAGGGCCATACTAGGGAAGGGGCTTCCCTGGGCACCGCCCCCTGCACCCGTACCTGGAGTGATGCCCATTCCTGAGGGTGGAGCTGGGGGCACTCACCCCTCTTGGGTCCAGCCTGTCCTGTGGAGGTCTGGAGCCCAGGCCCTGCCTGCTCCTGGCAGCCTTCAGGTGACCGTGGTGGCCTTTGCAGGGAGTAAGGAACCCATCAGAGCCTGGAACCCTGAAACTACCTTCACCGGGCCTCAGTTCCGCTGGAGGTAGCTAGGGATCAGTGCGGGGACAGAGGATACACTCACTGTTGGCCCTTAACCCGTCCCCCACTGAAAGCGTGGCTGAGTTCTCTCCCGAGGCAGCCTAAAGCCGAAGACGGTGACTTTTCACTCTGGCCTGCAGATACGCAGGGAGTAGCTAGCTCAAAGCCGAGCAGAGCTGGACCTCCATTCTGTGTCTGGTGTCTTTATCCCCGGAAACCCTGGCTTGGATCCCCCAGCCTTGCGCAGAGGCTCCTTCTGTGTTTCCGGTCCAGAGGCTGGCGGTTCAAGGTCAGCTCGTCCTGCATTGACGCGACCTGCTCCATCCCCTCCAACACCGAGGACAAGGACATCTGACCTCCAGGGTGCCCCGAAATCTCCAGTGGTCACCTTGGCTTCTGGCTGAGCCTGGGTGGGGGACTGAGATGGCCCCAAGCAGAGGATCAGGGCCAGCTTGCAAGGCCAGGCCTGAGATGAAGATCAAGTGCCCAGCCCACCCTGGAAAAGCCATAGAAGTGGTCTCCGAACCTCTCTGTCGGAGCTGTGCCTATCAGCTCCTCAAACTCAAGTGCCCTGCTTGTTATCTCTTACTCACTCTGCCTCCTAAATGACCTCAGGATTCTTTGCTGATGGTCCTGAATGCTTTTCTGCAATGAGATGCGGTGTTCACCTCTGATCCCAGCGCTCTGGGAGGCTGAGGCAGGAGGAACCTTTCGAGTTTGAGGCCAGCCTGGGTTAGATAGAGAGTTCAAGGCCAGCCTGCACTGCACAGCCAGACCCTATCTCAAACACACGAGCAAATAAAACAAAACACAGAACCTAAATTGAGGTCCCCACTTCCTCCTTAGGCGAACCTCCTCAGACCCCATTACTCAGAGACTCTCAGACAAATGACTCCAATGCCGAGGAGGCCGTCGGCAGGGAGCCTCCCCTCCCTTGTGGGTCTCTGCTGGGTTGGGGACCTCGATCCCTGTGGGGCAGAGCCTCGGGCTGCCTGGACAGACCTGCCTCGGAACTCGTGCCCAGGCCTGTTGGCGTCCGGGCCCGAATCATCAACCTGACGAGGACAGCGTGCAGAGTGTGAAAGTCGCCTCCCCTCCGAGCCTCCGTCCTTGAATCTGTAAAAAGGGGTAACAGCGCCCACCTCTGGGGGCCGATGGCAAAATGAAATAGGCTAATGAAGGCACTCAGCACGCAGCAGTACACGACACAGGGAGGGCGCCCTTCCCACAGGCTGGGGCAGCAGCTTGTCCAAGTGGCGGAGGGCAGGCAGAGGGACGAAGGCCCGAACGGATCGGCCTTCCCGATGCTGGCCCTGAGCAGGGCAGGGACCCACAGACACCGCAGAGCCCTCTGAAGCTCCAGCTGGAGTGAGGAGCCACAGGCTCCGCACACAGAGGCTCGAGGGGGCACAGGCCCTGCACCCACCCGCCACCCCTCACCTCCTCACCCCTTCCTGTCCTCGGGGGGAACTTGGCCTGGCGCAGCCCTCCGGTCTGTGCGGTCTCAGAAAGTCCTTTCCGCTGGACGTGGTGGCGCACGCCTATAACCCCAGCGCTTGGGAGGCTGAGGCGGGAGGACCGCCACAAGCTCAAGGCCAACCTAGCTAGCTACATAGTAAGTTCAAAGCCAGCCTGAACTACAAGGCCCTAGCTCAGAAAGCCAAAAAAAGTGGTGGGACATAGCTCAGTGGTTCCACCACCTAACTTGCAAGCGTAAGGTGCTGAGTTGGGTCCCCGGTGTACAAAAAAATAGTTTCCTTCCCTTTCCATGACTTTGTAATTTTAAACACAGGTTGAGAAATTCGTTTTTATTGTTCATGGAGAGAGGAAGGGAGGTCGGTAGAGGGAGAAGCCGCTCCAAGGACTCGGGCATCCCCACTCTCCACCCCTGCCCTGGAAGGCAGGCCGGAGGGGCTGCAGACGCTGCCTACCTGGAGTTAGGGACCTCTGGTGCCCCAGCCCCCAGCTCCCCTTCCCACACACCGGGGCCTGTCCCGAGGTCCAGGCGGAACCAGCCCCGCCACTCTGCCTCTGGGCAGCATCCAGAGGTCACGGCCTGGAAACTCAGGCTCTGAGGGCCTGAGAATGAGTTCCGCCCTCCCTGTGGTGGATCAGGACGGCGCTGTCTTCTGGGGCTTGGGCCGGCTGGGAGCCGACACCACAGGCTGGGACGGGAAGTCCTGTGGGGTGGGGCGGGCAGGATGAGGAGCCCCCGGCTCCTGGGGACCTTCCCCACTTGGAGCCCCCACGAAGGCGGGCTGTGTCCCTGCTCCTGGGCCTGCCTTCGGGAGCGGGAGGAGAGCCCAGCCGGCGGCCCCGCCCCACACCCCCAGAGAGGTCACCCCAGCTCCCTTGGGCGGGAGGTTCCCACCTGGATCTGACAGAGGTCGAGCAGGACGCGGACGCCCGCCAGGCACCACAGCTCGCCCAGCAGGGAGAGGAGGAGGCCCGGCAGGTCCAGCCAGCGGCCCACGGTCAGCAGCAGCATGGAGAGGCCGCCCGTGCGCACCAGCACCATCTGCACCTGGCTCCTCATGCTGAGGCGCTGCTGCCGCTGCTCCTCTGGGGATGCAGGGCCTGTCACTGCCCGCCACCGCCGCACCGGCCCCAAGTCCTCTGTGCACGCGGAGACTCTGCCTCCCCGCGCATTCTGCCCGCCCCACAGCCTGGGTCCTACCCGTCTGGGGCAGAGCCTTGCACGCTTCTTCCTGCAGGTCCCTGTTTACTCTGTCCGGAAACCTCTACCAAACTCACCCCAATCTCACCCTGGTCCCAGCTGCCTTCTGCCTGCCAGCAGCCTTCTCCCCAGGGTCTTGCCCTGTAGCCCAGGCTGGCCTTGAATTACAGTGATCCTCCTGCCTCAGCCTCCCAAATGCTGGGACGGGGGGGGGTGTGCCACCACGCCAGGTTTCCAGCTTTGGTTGTGACCCTAAAGTCCAGTGTCTGCTGAGCAGCTAAAGTGACCTTCCAGTCATGTCCACTACATGAGATCAACCCTGTTTTTAAGCCCTCTGAGTCTTCCTACTACATCTGGAGAAAAAGACATCTTGCCTCATTGGCTGGCGGACAGTTGGCCCAAGTCCACCCCTAGCTTCAGTCTCTGACTTGTTCCCCCTTGCTTACCACCAGCAGCCAGCCCAGCTTGCTTCTTGCTTATTCCCACCTCAGGGCCTTTGCACTTTCTGTTATCTCTGAGTGGATCACCCTTCCTGGTCCTCTGCTCCCATCTCTCCACTCTGCATGGCCAGATCTGAGTGGATCCCTCTTCCCGCTTAGAAACCTGCGGGGTCTCCCACTGGGCTCCCCAGCCAGGATGGCCGGAGCTCCCAGCAGGTCCCTGGGAACCTGATCAGCCTCACGCCTCCCCATGACGGCACAGATGCCCTGGACCCGTCGGTGGTGTGAAGGTGCCACTCTCGCTCTGGGCCCTGGCACCTGTACTGTCCCTGCCCACTGACCCCTTGCCTGCTGTCACCCTAGGAATGGGCCCAGTGGCAGCTCCTCCGGGGTCACTGCGGCCCGCTGAGCCCGCCTTGAGCACAGCCCCGGCCCTCACCCTGCATGTGGACGACCAGCAGCGTGTAGCAGATGCTGAGCGGCATCCAAAAGCGCACAGCCTCCGAGGTGTTCAGGAAGTCCTGCTGGATGAGGGCCACTGCCGCCAAGCTGCCCACAGTGAAGGCCACGGCCAGGGCGCGGCCCAGCAGCCCGGGGAGTCTTTAGGCCCCGGCTGAACCTCCCCTGCCTCGTTTCACGTAAGTGGACTGCTCAAGGTGTGGTCAGCCATGCCGTCCAAATGCCATCACTCTGCCAGCTAGGCAGCAAGCACTCTTCTGAGGA